ATTTTGTATAATATACAGACGATCTATCTTTCGCTTATTACAAAAGCAATCCAACTCCCTCACAAAGGCATCTCGTGCACAATATGATCGGAAAGAAGGATTTACATAAATTGTTGACTTTGCTGAGACAAAACAAAATAACTTAGAGTTAGAATAGAACTTTTCTTTCATTCTGTCTATCTTTTTCCATTCTTTTTCGTCTACAAATAATAATTCAGTGCAATCCTTCGGTTGTTTAAGTGTTCCCACGACTTTTGGGTGATCAGTCCAATCGTTGGTGGTAACCTTATCCTCCGTAGGGTTGTCACGCTTATCTTGCGCAATTTTGTTTTTTATTCGCTTTCTTTGCGCTCTTGTTAGAACAGATATGACCTTTTCATTCATTTCTTTCAAATCTTCACTCGAAATTTGGATGCGTGACAAAGCATCTGCAGCTGCATTGTCAGCTCCCCTTACATACTTGATAACAAACTTATACTCCTCAAGCAATAACCTAAACTTCGTAAGTCTACTTGACGGATTTGTCATGTTGAATAAATATACGAGAGGCTTATGATCCGTTTCAATAATGAATTCGCGTCCATATAAATAAGGTCGAAAGTATTTTACTGCCCATACTATCGATAATAATTCCTTTTCGATAGTAGGATAGTTTTTCTCGGCTTTGTTTAAAGTGCGGCTAGCATATGCAACCGGTCGTCCGTCATGATTACATAAAACGGAGCCTATAGCAAAACCAGACGCGTCAGTTTTTAAAATAAAATTTTGGTCAAAATTTGGGTACTGAAGTATGGGAGGAGTCGTTAAAGCATTTTTAAGCGTTGAAAAAGATAGTTTACAGTTTTTATTCCAATGAAATTTAACATTTTTGCGACATAAATTGTTTAGAGGTAAAACGATTTCAGAAAATTTTGGTATAAATCTTCGATAGTAATTCGCAAACGCTACTAGTCTTTTTACATCGTTGGTATTTTGAGGAATTGGGTAATTTTGTAATACTGATATCTTTTTTGGGTCAGGCTTAATACCTTCGGAAGAAACAATGTGGCCAAGATAAAGAAGTTCTTTTTTTAGAAAAACACATTTTTTCGGGTTTAACTTTAAGTTTACTTTTCTTAAGCGTGATAATATTTCTATTAAATTTTTATTATGATTATCTAAGTTTCTGCCAAAACAAATGAGGTCGTCTAAATAAGTGAGCGCTTTTTCGTAATTTAAACCAGCCATGGATATTGTAATAGCACGAGAAAAGGAACTTGGGCTTGTCTTTAAGCCCATTGGCATTCTGGTCATCTGATATTGACCAGAGGGTGTAGTGAAAGCCGTATACCTTCTACTAGATGGATTAAGGCTTAATTGGTAAAAAGCTTGATTGAGATCAAGGTGGGTAAAATACATTGCTCCTGATAAGGAATCTAATATGTCTGTAATATTGGGTAACGGAAATTTGTCATCTACAATACAGTTGTTTAATTTTCGAAAATCGATAACCAAGCGCCAGCTCCTGTCCTCACCATTTTCTGGCTTTTTGGGTACAAGAAGCACAGGACTTGACCACTCACTGCAAGCTGGTTCAATAATTCCGTCTTGTAACATATTTTTGACTTGTGTTTCTATTTCGTTCCTCTGAGAATAGGGTAATCGATACTGTTTTACATACACTGGGTCAATATTAGGTTTTAACTGAATATTATGTTCATATAAGTTACAAGTTGTTAATTGATCTCCTGGCAATAAAAATATGTCGGAAAATTTTGCACAAATATGTATAATAGAAGATTTTTCCTCTTTATTTAAATGATCCAAATTTAATAAATTTAACATTTTATGAACGCGTTCGGGATCAATGAGACTTTTATCAAACTTACAAATTGAATAATTATGTAAACTATCGGTTCCTGAACCACCTCGATTTCCGAAATAAATCGATGGTTCGATGTACTCGCTAGGTCGAACACTAGATGTCTCCTCATCCTTTGCAGCTCTAATTGTTTCTTTTAACGTACTATAATTGCGTGCTGACAAAATAATACTAAGTTGTCGGTTTCGCAAGCCATTTGTGAAACTTTTAATAGCGATCTTTTCATTTATAGGACGTAAAATTTTATGCGCGTTTTGGTCACCATCGGCTTGGGAAATCGTCAAATCTACGAATAATTGTTCGATTTTATTGCCATAATTATCTAGGGAACTACTATTTTGTCTTATTTGCATTAGTTCGTTATGAATGGAAGTGTAAGATTTCTTTGTTAAAAGGTGGTTCCGCATATCACTTATAAGCGCCTCGCATGAGTCATAGGAATCTAATAGGCGTAACTTAGCACCTTCATTCAAACGAGTCTTTAACACAAATTTTATTAACATAGACTTACCTTCTTCTTTAAGCGAAGAGCTATATAACTCTATCGAGTCCATCAAGGTTTTGGTGACCGATTCCTCGCCCGTCATCACTGGCAGGAGTGACACAGCAGTTTTAAAGTCGAAACTTTCCATGGTGAATATTTCGCTTTGAATAGTGCCCTTGGAAGTTGATTGAGAGCTGTAATCCTTACTACAAAAGTTTTCTATTTGTCCATATAAACTCTTAATTAAATCGCAATATGATTGTATTTCAATTAATGCATTACTTTTAATTTGTTTACTTTCTATCTCTTTATTTAAAATTATCAAATAATCATCAAATTCTTTACGTAATTGTACTGATTCCTTAAGTTTTTGTTGCAAAATGCTTTTAGTTCGCTTATCATAACTTAATTTATCTAAATTATTTTTAATATTTTTAAATTTTTCATATATTATTATTAATTCACTAGACATGGAAGTACAGTTAAAAAGAAATATCGTTGTCAAAATATTTTAAGGTTTAAGGCATACATATAAGGCTATTTTTATTATTTTTTTTTCCTTTTTTTTAAACTTAAACTATAACATATTTTTCAATTTAAACCTCATTTTTTCAACTTGACGCTTTCGTTGTCTCCCGGCGGTCCTCATGGCGGCACTCACAGCATACACGGGGTACACGAGGTCCTGGGTCCGGTGATCGCACAAAAGAACGACGCAAATTGTGCATTACCATCTCATTCCGCATCCAGCTTGTATGGCAACTTTTGTATATTTTGTATACACCATAGAGAAGAGCCAAGCCCAAAACTGTGCATATTATAATCAGCACGACGGATATCCCAGACAGGTGGCTTTTAATTTCTTCTACATGTGCAGAATTTGAGCCTCCTGAAGTGTCTTGCGTAATAAATACTTGGTCTTTCTTGACTTCAGAACGACACATTTTTTTTTTTAAAACGCGGCCCGCGACCGAACCCAGGCAGACCGCCGATGAACTGGCAGGGTCGCCATGTAGTGTTGGGTGGTTCGGGGAATAAATAAAACGTCCAATAGTCTAGACGGTAGGTTTAATACTAACTCTCTCTTATTCTATCCTACATATATATAAGCACACACTACAATATGCTCAGCAAGGCTTTAACATAGTATCTAATTGGCTTCTTAATAATCTCCTACGTTTAAACGCAGACAAAACACAATATATGTTATTTTTAACGAGAAATAATAACATACCTACTCACCTAAACATTTACGCTCATCATTGTAACTCGTATGATGACACTGCATGTGCATGTCCCGCATTAACAAAATCAGACAATATAAAATATCTAGGTATCACGCTTGACACAAATTTAAACTTCCGCAAGCACATCGATTTACTTTGTGCTAGAGTTCGTAAATTAATATATATTTTTAAATATTTTCGTAACATCGCTGACTTCAAATTGATAAGACAGGTCTATTTAGCATTGTGTCAATCCATACTCACTTATGTCATTACTTCCTGGGGTGGTGCTTCAAAAAAAATATTGCTCCCATTAGAACGTGCTCAGAGAGCAGTTCTAAATGTAGCCACTTTCCGTCCATTCATGTTTCCTACACATCAACTGTACTTGGCATGTAGTGTACTAACTATCCGTCAGTTGTTTATCCTGAACATCATATTAAAATAGCATACCGAACTTCCATTTAACTTAAAATCCATAGACAGGAGAAGAATGGGCTTAGTTTGTGTAAACCCTCAAACCAAACACGCATTTGTGAATAAATTTTACACATTTTTAGGACCCTTTCTATATAACAAGCTCAACAAGTCACTAAAGGTATATAGTCTAAGTTATGAGAACTGTAATATAAATGTAAGGGAATTTCTAAATAAATTAAATTACGAAGACACAGAGAAGTTGTTAGAAATTCTAAAATAGTTTGTATTAATTGTAGGTAACAAATAATTGTTATTTAGTTATTTTATTTATTATACAATTTAGTTTAATTATTTAAATATCTAGTGTCCTACATTATTAAACCGTTTGTATAAGTGATGTCTGAAACACAGGTACTCAACCTAGTTCAGGCAGGTAGCTAATATTATAAACTTGACTTTTTTATTTTTCTTTTGTTGATTCTACATTATTAAGCTACAAATAGTTTTAATTTTATCATAGCATCATGATCTTTTCTAAAATTTTAGATAAACCAGATAAAACTGAAATCGGCCTATAGTTATTAACTAAGTTTTTATCACCAGCTTTGTAAACAGGAGAAACCACTGCTTTTCACGTTAACTGCCACGTCAGGCACCAGTGCTTGACAGATATGGTATCTGTTAGGGCCATGTCAGTCACAAGTGCCTGACGCAAACGCATGTAATTCAAATGAACCCAGGGAGCTGTCAAGCACATTTCGGGGCTTTTTCTCTATTGAAATTGACTGACAAGGCCCCCAACAAACTATGTTCATCTTGGCCTAACATTTTTACATGTAGAAGTGGTTTTTATGTACATAAACTTTTTAAGGAAAATAAAATACAACACAATGAATATCTAAATATTTTAATTGTTTTTAATGATAGAATTTTAGGCGTACAGCTTAGACAATTATAAAAATAATAATTTTAGAATAAAGAAAAAAATACAAAGCAAAAACAAAACATGTTACAACTTTTTATGTTCCTCATTGAAACAATTTAGACAAAAATGTAGCTCATTCGGGCATTGAGGGCAATATGTATTCACTTGCTTAGTCTTCTTTCTAGCATAATTTCTACCTAGTGTTCTAACATTGACTTTATAACACCTTGAACAGTACTTTCTCGATTTTTTGACTGGACCTTCCTTCTTTTTCAATTCATGCTTTTGTCTTTTATTTATAGCTAGCGATGTTTCGGGGTTGTAGTTTTCTTTGCCGGAGTCTGTTAGATATTTACACAACTTTTTCCTATAATCTACAATCCCTATCTTAGATTTCGTAGTTTCTTTATAAATTATGTAAGAATTGAGTAAAGCAGTGTTCAACAATAATTCAACAGCAAGTTTTCTGTACGATTTCACAGTTTTTCGTAATGGTGTTGAGTACGCTATCATTTGATCAGACAGGTCTACAGCTGATTTCGCGCTATTGTAATCCTTTACAATTTTTGGTTTTATTATTTCTTTGTCTCTTTTGTAAGTCCTAGTAAATCCAATAGAATGTTTCGTAGATAGTAAATAAACATCCCTCTTATCCTTCCACTTCATGCATGTAATACCATCTTCATTTTCTTTAGCTCTAAACTCTCCTTTTCTTATCTTTCCGTTTATAACGACTTTTGGTAAGTATTTTCTATTTTTACGCAATGTGCCCACACGATGAGTTTCATTCTCTAACAGTTTGCGTCCTAAATTAACGCTAGTATACCAATTATCGGTATATAACGTATGCCCTTTTTGGAGATATCCTTCCATAAGTGACATTACAACATTAGTTGGGGTTGTATTTTCGGTTTCGCATCTCTTGCCCGCGTATATTTGAATTTTGTTTGTGTAGCCCGAGTTAGTACACAATTTAAAAACTTTAATTCCATATTTGTGCCTCTTCAATTTGATATATTGACGGAACATAATACGTCCTCGAAATGGTACCAAAGACTCATCAATACAGAGATTTTCTTGGGGATAATAGTGCGCTTTAAAGTTGAGATTCAAAGTATCAATCAAGTCTCGTATTTTGAACAGACGATCACCACATCTTTGGTTATTGTTGTTACAAAAATGCACCATTCGTAACAAAATTTCAAACCTGTTCCGCGGCATAATTTTTCGCGGGAAAGTTTGGCAAATCATTTGATCTATTGACCAATAATCAGCTAGCTTTGGCAATCTGACAATACCCATGAATAAAATTAAACCAAAAAATCTCTTCATCTCGTCTTGGTTTGTGTCGGTCCAACTATGCAATCGCGATCCTGGTTTTATTTGTTTTTTTGAACTAAGGTTAGTAATTGTCTGAGCGGCATAGCGGTTAGTCTCTATAGCAATATTATGAAACATGCTGTCCGGTACTAGTAAAGCATAGAAATCCTCTGGCTTGGAATGTACCATTAAACTCCTCAAGCTATAAGGTTTCAAACCAGGGCACTCTGTAAAAGGAATAACTTTTCTTTGCTTACCCGTTGGTTCACGCCAAAAATCTTTATCAATCCTTGTGTTAACACTGCTAACCTGCTGTCCAGTATACTCATCTTCATCATCACTGTCAATTACATAACACCTCTTCCTGTTTCTATTCCTAGGCAAAATATCTTCCGTGTCGTCACATAATTCACTAGAATATGGAATATCTAACAGCGGGGAATCTCTTTGAGTAAATCGTTTTTCTAGTTCGTCAATTGCTTGGATATCAGTCAACGATAATTCAAAATCACACGTATTATCAAAAATAGACATTATTTATAATAATTATCGACAAAAACAAAAACTTTATTTTAAAGCGACGGATTCATGCAGTTCCTTCCGCAACAAATTTAAAGCGACTAAATAAATGCCGTACCTACGCATTTGAGAGGCCCCGGACAGGTAGCAACTTGCAAGGAATGACCTATGACACGCGTAGGTACTTTGGTTCGAATAGCCGAGCAACGCAGCGAACTTTTTTCCCGCGAAAATATAGTGGCGGCAGGCGGCAGGCGAAGGGCGGTTACGTAGATTATTATACGATGCCTGACAAAATGCCTGACATGGCGCAATTGCTATATTTTCTCCCGATTGGGCTTCGTCAGTCACATGTAGCTGACAATATTTATTATAATTCTATTTTACGTTATAATTATCGAAAATAAATAAAAAACAGTCATTTAATATAATTGATGTCAATATAACACCAAAAACAAAAAAAAAGAAAATGCCGTCATCAAAATTATGCTACGGCAGTTAACGTGTAGCACTTTCGGGAAAATCATAGCATGTTATTTTTGTTAGACTTATTGTTATTTTAATTAATTGTAATAATATTTGTTCCTGTATGTAACATAGATGGGCGGAGGCAGTAGAGTCCAAGGGGGAGGCGTTGGCCGTTAGTCTGGACATTGCGAAGGCCTTCGATCGGGTTTGGCACAAAGCGCTTCTTTCGAAGCTCCCTTCCTATGGGCTTCCCGAGAAATTGTGCAATTGGATCACCAGCTTCCTTGCAGATCGGAGCATCAAGGTCGTTGTAGACGGTGCATGCTCTGACTACAAGCCTATTAACGCTGGTGTTCCACAAGGCTGTGTGCTATCACCAACGCTGTTTCTTCTGCATATCAATTATATGTTGCTAACTGGTAACATTCATTGCTATGCGGATGACAGCACTGGTGATGCTCTATACACCGGCCGTGCCAATATTTCTCGGGAAAACGTCGCTGAGTACCGGAACAAACTTGTGTCTGAAGTCGAGTCTTTGCTGAGCAAAGTCTCGGATTGGGGGCGACTAAATCTAGTCCAGTTTAATCCTCAGAAGACACAAGTTTGCGCGTTTACCGCTAAAAAGAACCCCTTTGTCGTATCTCCTCAGTTTCAAGACACTCCCCTTCTTGCCTCAGCCAGTATCGGTATCCTCGGAGTCGATATATCGAGGGACGTGCAGTTTCGTGGTCACTTGGAAGGGAAGGCCAAATTGGCCTCTAAAAAGCTTGGCGTGCTCAGCAGGGCGGGACAGTATTTCATGCCGGCACACCGCCTGCAACTTTACAAGACGCAAGTTCGGCCTCACATGGAATACTGTTCCCATCTCTGGGCAGGGGCTCCCCAGTGCCAGCTCCTTCCACTTGACCGCATCCAACGCAGAGCTGCTCGAATCGTCGACGACCGAGCCCTTTCCGATCGGCTCGATTCATTGGCACTGCGAAGAGATGTTGCATCCCTTTTGCGTTTTCTTTCGCATCTACCGTGGGGAGTGCTCTGAAGAATTGTTAGGATTAATCCCAGCCGCCAAATTTCACGAACGCACATCGCGGCAGAACTCCCGATACCATCCACACCATCTGGATGACTGGCGGTCCACCACTGTGCGATTTAGAAGATGTTTTCTTCCTCGCACGACCTCCTTGTGGAATCGATTACCATCAGCGATTTTTCCGGACCGATACGACTTAGGGACCTTCAAGAAAAGAGCGTACTCCTTTTTAAAAGGCCGGCAATCTGCGATTCCCCTGGTGTTGCAGTTGTTCATGGGCGGCGGTAGTCACTTACCATCAGGTGAGCCGCATGCTCGTTTGCCCCCTCTCCTATAAAAAAAAAATTGGAAGTCAAACAAATATTTATTATTATTATTATTGGGGTTATCTATAAAGTTTTCTCATCTGGTTGGGCTGTTTAAATATATAATTGTAAACGAAAGATATAAACATATATAAGTATCAATAAAATAGAATAAATACATAAAAAATACATAAATATATAAAAACCCAACCAGATGGAAGCCCTCGGCAGGGGAGACCTAACGGCCGAGGGTTAGGGGGAAAGGGAAAGAAACCGGCTGACGATACGGGTGGTATCGAGGAGCACCGCCTTGGAGCGGTCCGTCACGGAGTCCCAGTCACCTCAGATGACCCGAGAGGCTGACTGGGATTAACCCGTTCGCAGAAACGACCACAGGTATAATTTCGGCCGGCAGACCACCCCACATGTCAGTCACCTCGTGAGCCAGGTCCAGGTATTTTGTCAGCTTATCTGTTTCGGCTTTCACGAAGTTCTCGTCATACGGAATGTTAATGTCGACCAAAAATATCCTTGACTGTGCCCGGTCCATCAGCACAATATCAGGCTTATTCGCTAGAATTGTCCTGTCTGTGATGATGGCCCGGTCCCAGTAGAGCCTGGCGCGGTCATTTTCGAGCACGGCTTCCGGCAAGTACTTATAATATAGCAGTTTCCGATCCACGAGACCGTATTTCAGAGTGAGCTCCTGGTGAAGAATCCTGGCTACTAAGTTGTGTCTGTGCAAATACTCAGAGTTATAAAGCGCCGAACAACTGGAAATGATATGCCTAAGTGACTCACCGGGATGGCGACAAGCTCGACAAATGTAAACGGCGCCATCCTTTAGGATGTATTTCCGATAATTGTTGGTCTTAATAACCTGATCCTGTATCGCACAGACAAAACCCTCGGTTTCCCCAAAGATGTCCCCGAAACGTAGCCAGTGAAGGGAGGCGACTGTGTCTACGAAAGGCTCATGTAGAGCCTTGTAGAACCTCCCGTGGAGCTCCTTCTCCTTCCATACGGTCTCCCGGTCGGAAATGCTCTGTACTGCCGGGTCTTGCCATTGCTCGTTGGCTAAGGATAGAGGGGTAAATCCTTTATCACAAGAAATAACGTCCCTTTAATATGGATCATCCGTTCTCGTCAGAAAGTAATTACGGAGGCTGCATACTTCGCGATTATGCATGGTAAGCGCGTTTAAAGAGCCGCGACCACCATGTTTCCGCGGCAAGTACAGCCTCATTACTGACGATCTCGGATGATACATCCTGTGGGACGTCATTATAGTGCGGACTTTTCTGTCCAGAGCGTTCAGTTCGGTCTGAGTCCACTTGGGTATGCCAAAGTTATACATGAGAACAGGCATGATCCAATCGTTATATGCGTGCGTCTTATTCACACCGGACAAAAGGCTATTAAGTACTTTGGTCGTGCGTCAAGCGTGCATAAAATACATCGCAAACTGACCGTTTCATACCCGCCTCTGATGTTCTGTGACATACCCAGGTATCGGTATGTTTTAGCCTCGGAAATGGTCCTCATGCTGATGGCCATAGATAAGTCTATGCCATCTATGCTTTCTACATGGAGGATCGCACCCTTATCCGTCCCCAGCTACATTCCAATAGAATTGCTAAAATCACAAGTGATGTTTAGCAATTCCATAAGATGGGAGCCACTGGAGGCGAAAAACTTGAGATCATCCATATAGAAAAGGTGGGTTTCTTTTGTACCGCCTTTCCGAGGCTGAAACCCCCTCCCGGAACCCTCCAGTAAGGTACTGAGACGGTTCAGAGAGAGGCAGAACCAGATTGGACTCAAACAATCGCCCTGGAAGATACCCCTTCTTATCCTTATGTGATTCTCCGCAGCCGTCATCCGCTGGCCTAGATGACAAAGGATCGTACTCCACTGCCCCATACACTGCCCGAGGAAGTCTCGAACTGTACAGTCAACCTAATTAAGTTGCGGGAGCTGCCGGGAGCTTTTTTAAAACTAAATACAAACTACGACTTAAAACTAAATACAAACTACGTGTTCACAGAGAGAGATGTGAATTTATTCTGTCCATTGTCTTTCACGATTCTTATTAATCCTATGCTTACAGTCTACTTAAATTACTATATACTCAGCGTTTATGTATTTATGCTGATGGATGCTTTATCTGTATTATGGGTGGTGCTGGTGTAACCATAACTCCTCCCTCCTCAACTGCAAAGTTATCGGCAAGATTTGGATTCCGATAATTTTGCATACAATGTAAGAGCTTACACTTATTTTTCCAAATTACAACAATAAGACCAATTAAGACTAATATAACATAGAGTAGTACAGTAGCTAAACTAACACTTTTCTTATTCACTAAACTTTCACTTTCACTTTCCACTATTTCACTTTTCAGTTTGTACGAGAGATATTTTACTTCATTCAAATTAACGCGATTTAAATTCACTGTTTTCTCCGCATTTGTAGGTTGCTCTATCAATTTGGGTAGAGTTAGAATAGGTGTCACCTTATATTGCAGTTTTCCTGAATAGTATCGTTTCCGGTGTAATTTAATATTGCCTAATTTTATCTCACAGTTTTCATCGATTTCCAAGAGGTAAGTGCCCTTTACAGCATTTCTTTGAGTGTCATCGCCACACGTTTTTGTAAGCACTATTTCATTTTGTGTAAATAGGATCCAGTTAATAGGACCAATAGACTGTATCTTAACACTTTCCAGCTCTACTCTTGATAATTTACAAAGGCTTAGATTTGATGCGAAGTTCATAAGTTGTTCTATGCATGTGTTTTCAGGATACTGCACGATATCAATTTCCTCACACAGGAACTGGTTTGCTGCTATCTCCTGACATGGGCCATTTAAGGGTAAGTACGTGTGATCTTTCACCATGAGGTAAGGATATTTGGGAAAAATAACAGTTGTTCTATTATAGGTGGGATCAAACATAGGTAAAGCATACATTTTAAAATAAGTGTATGTAATATTATCAGTCAGAGGGATTTCATAATGAACGTTATTTGGTTTTCTTTCACATAGGCCTTAACAGACATAGATCTTTCTAAATTAACTAAATTGTTTTCAGTAATAGGATACAATAAACTATTTGTTTGAGATATAGATTCTAATATTACTAATAATTCAGTGGAATTAACAATGGCTTGACGTAGAACGTGAAGTTTAGTAAATGCTAATGCCGGTT